GGTGGGACCCATTTTGGTTGGCAGCAGCCTACAGGGGCAGTGACCTGGGAGTAGAGAGCCCTGGGAGAAGCTGCCACCCAGCTGCTTTTGGTGTTCTAGGGAACCCTGGGAGCAGCTGCCACTTCAGTGCACAGGGCTGGGGAACCACAGGAGCAGCTGCCACCGTGCTTAGGGCGAGGGAATCCTGAGAGTAGTTGCTGCCATCGGCACCACCACGCACGGGGCTGGAGCCGGTGGTGGCGATGCACACAGGGCCAGGAAACCTCGGGAGCAGTTGCTGCTGCTATATACGGGGGTGGAGCCAGGGAACCCTGGGAGCAACTGCTCCCTTGCAAGAGGCAGGGGTAGGGAGCAGAGTCCCGCGAGTGGGCTGAAGGCAGCAGACCCAGGCAGGTGAGCCAGAGGAGGTCAGGTCTCCAGGTTTTCCCACGGCTGCTGCCAGGAGAGGAACCCTAGGAGAACCCAGATGCCTGACCTCCTTTGGTCTGGCAAATTACCTTGTTTGGGACCACTCTGGTTCTAAGGGTGCTGGACAAGGGAGGTTCAACCTGTACTGTATTCTGTAAAGGTGAACTTTTAAAGGATTACAGTATTGTTTACACATAATCGGCATATTTCACCCTCCTGATGAGGAAGAAGAAATAGAAGCACAAAAATTATTGACACAGGTATAGAATAGTCTATTATGTATTTACCCCTGCTCTGCAGGTGAAACCAGTTTGATCCAGGAGAGGTGTGGGTTAGCATTAGTAAGAAAAATGAAAGGTTTATGAATAAGTATCTAATATTTACATTTTGAATTGAAAAACTAATAGGATATCTTATTAAAGAGTAGATCTACGGTGTCCACCTCATCTGGGTCAATTCATTGGTTTCTTAATGTACTCTAAGGTGAGATGAGTACAGAAGGTTCTTAATAAGGGTTCCACTTTAATCATCATGAATTTATTGGTTGTTTATAATAATGATGGCTAGATGACTATACAGCATTTGGATGGCATGTAGCCTATTAAAGGAGGATTTTAATGCTGGTACAAACACACACACACAAATTAATGCACAAAGCAGTAGGAATTGTATAATTATTTTGCCAGCATTTGAAATATTTGCAGTTACTACCTTCTCTACAGAGTTTATCTTCCTATTGTATTCTGCAGTGAATCTGTGGTCCTGTTCATTATATCATGGTATGTGGCTGCACTGTTATATCAATGATCCAGCAGTCTGGCTGCACCGTATTACCACTTAAGAGAAAAAAATAGGCTACTGACCTCCGATCTTTTATTTGAACACAGATGTCTTATAGAAGGAGAATGGGATACAGATAATTTTACCCTAACTCACCGGGATTCAATTATGAACTAAAAAAAAATCAATATCCTTGAGCTCTATCCTACATGACATGAGTCTGTGATCTCAGTCTA